GTGAATACGAGTTATTGTAGGGTCAGATTAAGATACAAAAGAAAGCTAATAAACAACCAAAAAATTAGTGTAAAGTAAGTCATTTTAGTAGTCTTACACTAGAAGAACAACTAGACAATAATGACTAAAAATGAAGATACTATATTGTAAAAAGATTTTAGATGCGGGGAAGTAAAGGATTGTTTGTTGGTTTATGTGTTTAAGTTAGAGTTATATGTTGCATGGAAATGGATGAAACATGTTTTGAATAGTTATATAATTTAAACTTTTTAGAATGTGCTGTATAATTAAAACTTTTTAGAATGTGCATAATCATATTAATTTTTTTTAATTGTGTTAAATATATGAATTGATTAAGAATCAAATTATGATTTTTATAATGAATTCCTTAGTTATGATAACTTTGACCTTACTAAGAGAGATTTTAAAAGTTGCGAGTAGTTGAAAAGAACATCAAATTTCAAAAAGATGCTTGACACCTCATGTCACTTTTAGAAAGTTATAAAATTTTGTAATTGTAAATTCTTTAAGTTTGTTTTTATATGTTGATTATTGACAGTATTTTGTCATGTAAATGAATTCAGTACAGTATAATTAATTGATTATGGGTATTGGTTAAATGTATGTTTGAAAATGATATTGTTTATTGAATGATATATGATAATTTGTGTGATGGGAGTAATCTTAATGCTATCATTGTATTATATTGGCTGATGATTCAGGATGCTTGAACTAAATCATATGTGTTAAATTGAGATGAGTTTTTCTACATGTTGGGTTTTTAGGAATGTTACTTTTAAAAAGAAACTTTATAAAAGTTTTGGTAGATTGAATGACAATCTAAATTGATACAAAAAATTATTTTAAAAAATCAATTTAAGGATTATTAAATTAATATAGAAAAACAAATTATCTCATTTTTCTTATGAGTTCAAAACTCAAAAGCTTTTAGAATTGTGAGATATTACAGACCTTTTTTATTTTCACTTAAAGGGTATGTGTGGTTTTCTTTTATTGGCGCGTGACAATCACAAGCCAACTACTTTTTTTTTTTTTATCTTTATTCATTAGAAGATTGATTTGACTCCAATTAAAATAAATTATAACAGAAAAATCATGATCAAAATATCAAAATACTCCTTGACCCCTTCTTTAATTTTTTTAGTTGAAGGGAAATGAAGTAATTGTACTTTTTCAATAGAAAAAGACGGAAGCATCCTTTTTCCCTTTATTTGTTTTTGTTTATTTATTAGGGGTATTTATATAATTTAAATGTGTAAAAAAGAGTTACTAGATTAGCATGCCCCCAATTAATTTTATAATATAATATGAACCTTTTAAAAAAGAGTATTATACTCTCATAAAAAAAGTTATTTGTTTGTTATAATAAAAGCAAAGATCTCATTACACTGTAGCAATGCACAATGCAATGTGTCTTGTCCTCCAATAAAAGACTAGCGGGGTTTTAGTGGATTTTTTTCAATTTTATTCTTCAATATTAGATTGATTAGAAACTAGACTTTATAATTTTTTAATTTTTTTAATTTAACCCTTCAACAACACAATTTATTAATTAATTAATTAATTAAGTAATTTTATCATTGAATATTAAATTGTTTTAGAAATTATGCTTTATAAATTTTTTAGATTTCCATGCTATGAAGTTATATGCGGGTCTCATAGATTTTTTTTTTATTTCAACTTTCAATATTAGATTTGCTTAATTTTTTTAATTATTTCTATTAATTTATCTTGATTTAATAACATAGGTTGCTGGTTTCATAGATTAACTCAGGTTTGAGATTTTGTTTACACATTTTTGTCTTGATTTTTTTTGCTTGTTGAAAACCAAGCTTTGCAATTTTTTCTTATTTGTTATCTTTGAGATTATCTTGATCTCATATCCAAGTAACAAGTTTTGTAATTTTTTCTCAATTTCATTCTTAAATATTAGATTAACTAGAAATAGATCTTTTATAATTAGTGTTTTTTTATGAAATTATCTTAATCTTAATACCAGGTCGCAAGCTTAACATGTTAATTCGAGTTAACGTAAATTGTTTTTGTTTTTCTAATCGATTATTTTTTCAATTTCATCCTTCAACATTGAGTTAGTTGGGAAACAGGTTTCATAGTTTTTTTATTTCTTTGTATGGGGTTATCTCAATCTCATAACCTAGATTGCATGTTTGAAAATTAACTCAGGTTGACGCAAGTAGTTTTTTTTGTTTTTTTTAATTTTATCCTTCAATATTGGATTAATTAGAAATTTGTTTTTATAATTTGTTTTTGATTTATTTTTTATAAGGTGGTTATAATCTCATGATTCAAATTATAAATTTAACTAGTTAACATGGATTGATTCAATATTCAATCATTTTATTATTTGAAACAAAAGGTTGGATCGATTCAATATTTAATTGTCTTATTATTCAAAAAACATTATTTAGTATATCATGTTATTAATATATTTTTTAAAAAAAAACATGTATGCAATATACATTACATTTTAAGTTTACAATTTTTATTTTTTTGGTTAAAAAGCATCTAATCAATGTTTAATTTCTTTTATGTTAAAAAAGAAAATCTAGCCTGCATCATTGATCTAGTGATGTTACAATTTTGTATCCCTAACTTATATATCCCAAGTTGCGAGAGACGAGTTTCTTGTGTTTAAAGAAAACTACATTGGTAAAATGTCATAAGAAGCTTGTGCTTTTGACGGCCAAACAGATAATAATAACAGGAACCGGTTTGCTGGCCTCTGCTTAAAAATCCAGGAAGCCATGGACTGTCCCTCATGCGCTCCAAAATTTGCAAGGCCGATCATGTAGTAGGTGTCTTGTTTTTTTGTGGGAAGGCGCACCTGTCATGCTTGACGATGACCCAGGAAACAATGCACAGGGACATGCAGCTTTCGCATTCAAAGCCAATGGGGACCCAGCAGAAAGGCATGGTTGGCCTTTAGCAATCAAAAGAAGAGAAATTAACAAGAACAAATAGTATACTATTATAACAGATGAGAAAAGTTGTAGCAGCTGGAGTGCTGCTGGGGCGATGGGGCAGAGAGAAGAGCAGCTGAGTGGCTGTGAAAGAATGCCTTTTAAGGCATGCACTCGGCTGTTGCATCCCCCACGAGCTAGCCACTGCTAGCCTTCCTCCCACGAGCTGAAAATGTACTTTACAAGTTACTTTACTCTATTATTATTTTAAAACTCAGATTCAGGCAAAGATTCTTTCCTTTGCTTTTTTGCTAATATTAGTATTATAACTTAAGGAACATGTTCTCTCCAAGACGAGTACCTTTTTGGTTAAAGACTAGAACATAAAGACAGTGTCCTTTCTTTTTTTCTTGAATCTGTAGTAGTTTTCCCCCTTTTAATGTGTCCCCTTTTACTTTCATTTGTCTTAATGTCCCTTCAAAATAGCAATGGTTGACTCTTTATTTGATCGAAAGCCAAGGTAGCCCTTTCATCACCAAATAGCCTATCCACACCCATTTTTATTTACTTTTTTCTTTTCTTCTTCTTTTTTATTCCTCAACCAAACACCCTAACCCTTGATATTATTCATCATCTCATACCTTCCTAAACTAAAACCACTCCAACCACCAAGACCTCCATGCCACCACCACAGCCACTAAAACCCTCCATAGCCACACCATCAGCAACCCTTCGGCTTCCACAATCCTCAATTTCAATCCTCACAAAACCCACTAAAATAATGGGTTTATTAGTCATTTTGTGGTAACAAATACAACTTAAAAGGTAGATAGGATTAATAGTTAATTAATTTTATTTTGTTATTAGATAATCTTGGTGATCAATCATCATGAACCTATCAACTAATCCTGTATCCCATGATCAATATGCTACATGTTATTCATCTCTTCTCTCTAACAAGAAAAAACTACAATTAAAAATTCATATTCTTCCTAAATTGTTTGCACTTAACAAATAATTCACAATCATGTTGTTATTGAGAAACAACAAAAAAAACTGAAATTATAGATGAGGAATAACCTAATTGTTATACTCTAAATACAAACACTTAAAGTCTAAAGCATTTTTAAACTTGTGATCTCTAGGTTGATTTCTTAGTTTTTCTTAGAAATTTATATTTTTATAAAAAGTTTTAATACTTCTTTGAGTATAAACCATTGATTCACTGAAAATAATACAAGTTTCTATCTTAATCACCTATTTAGTAAGCATCTCTTTTAAAAACATTGGCAATAATAGATGAACTTTTCTAATTCGATTACTATTTACCAAATTTTGTATCTTTATAGCTAATTATCAATGAGGTCTTTTATACCAAATTACTCATTGAAATATTTTTTTATTGAATATATTTGTTTTATGTTACCTCAACCTTTTTTTTTATGTGTTAATAAAAGGTCTAGTTCTTATTTAATTTAAATCTTCTAGCTCTACTAATATAGCATACTAATAATCTATAGTATCCATATCATTTTATACAACTCTTTTAAGTGATTGAATTGCAAGTTCAAATAAGAAACATAGTATCTTGGTCATAAAATAAAATAAATGGTGAAATCTTTAAAGCAGTTTTATGTGAAGTCCTATATGCCTATAATACTTCAAACAATGCATTATTTTAAGTCTTGCCAAACCTCAATGGATGTCATAATGGTTTGATTATTATTGGATTTTGATGTAACAATCCAAATTTTCAAGACAACACCCAAACAAAAAATAAGGTTATGGTAAACATGGAAACTTTTTTTCACAATTTGTATATGTAAGTCCATCATATAATCTATTGATATTTTGGCGTAGTCTTTTTCTATATCAAGAGATTCCAAGTTATCGACATGAACCTATTGTACTTTTATATTTTATTTCTTAATTTTTATCCAATCATTATGGATCTTAATCACAACAATTATCATCTCTACATCATAATTTCCCATACAACAATGCACAACATTAATTTGCATTAAAAAAAAAAAGCTTAAGACATATATAATTTAAACATATAATTTAATTTCTCTAAAATCAAAAGTTTATTATTACATTACAAGTTACCTAAAATTCAAAATGTTTTCAAAATACAGATATAACATTCCTCGTCCAGATAATAAAAGATGAGATAAAACAAGAATCACTCCTAGCATGAATGTGATAGACCTGGAGAATATAGCATGTGATGTAAATATTGAAATAATTAATAATAAAAATCATAATGGAAGCATTACTAGATTTTCACTTCTTTTATGTTAATAGTACAACAAAACCTTTATCAACAATCATTCATTTTTCTTTATCAATTTCTGCATTAACATCATGGCTCTCTTTATCATTCATTATTAATTATTTAACAATATAATTAATGTCATTAACCATCTCTATTTGGTATCATAATCCATTATTTAAGGATGGGATTCTCAAAAAGATATCAACACCAACTCATTAGTATTATGAGTTATCACTTTTCTAGATAACTAGTCAATATCTTAAATGAATATAATGATGTCAATATATCCATATTGGCATCATTTGCTCATCCTCATCTCTAAAAATAGCTAATCAAATGCTAAATCTCCTAACTCACTAGGATAGTGGTGTTGATACTAATGGAACCTATTAGTATAATTAATTTTCTTTATTGGGATTTATTAATCAATTTCATTACAATTATTGATATCAATACAACCTATTGATATCATTAAATATTTTTAACTAAAAATAGATAATCAAATTCATCATAATTGTTAATATCAATACAACCTATTAATATCATTAAATATTCTTAACTAAAAATAGATAATCAAATTCATCATGATATTTAGATTCATTCCTTGAAAATATTGATGTCAAGGTCCCCTTGACATCATTAGCCTCCATGTCAGGAGTAACTAATCAAATTTAAGTAAATGTTGATATCAATGAAACACATTAATATCATTAATTATTCTCAACCTGAAATAGTTAATCAAGTTTGTTATAAGATCCTAATTCATCATTTAGAAATGTCAATGTCAAGAACCCTTTTACATCATTAGCCTTCATAATCGGAGTAGCTTATTAAATATAAATATAAATATAAATAATCCAAACTTGAATAACTAATCAAGTTTATCTAAATATTTTTTTTTTATTTTTTTATTCATTATTAACTTTTCAAACAATACAAAATCATAAGAAACTAACATCTCTAATAACAAAATAAATTAGAAATATCGGTGTTAGGTACTCACCTACTGTTGACGCTTCATGTTGCTACACAACTCTTATGGCCCCTCCTATATCAACAAGTATACCATATTATTTCTCACTAATTGCATATTCTACATAATAATAATATATGTTGATTTCTTTTAACTATTTCATCCTTTATAATTTAAGTTTCATTGAATTTCCATTTCAATTTCTCATTCAAGAACATTGTTTTCAGCCAATTTAATTTAATGATTCAAGAACATTGTTTTTATATAAATCATAATTGGGGTTATAAACTTCATTTCTTTTTTTATTAGTTTACTCAAAAATTAAAATTAAAAAAAACTTTTATAATCTCTATACACATACATGCATACATGAACTTCATTCCTCGTACATCAAGAACAATTTATTAACAAAGTAAAAATTAGACAATTTTCAGCCAATTTAATTTAATTATTCAAGAACATTGTTTTTATGTAAATCATAATTGGGGTTATAAACTTCATTTTAGAATATGGCTTGTTTGCTCCAAAAACTAAGATACAAAACTATGTTTTTACTGAATGGAGGGAATCTTAGTTCTACCATTTACACACCCAAACAACCAATTATCGTAACTCGTCAAAATTGTCCAGTACAATTCCCAGCTTAACCTCCCCTCAATGGTTTACCCATATTTGGAGTTTTTGAACTCAAAATTAAGTAATGTCAATCTTGTTAAAAATTTAACATCTTTAGATATAACTTTTATGAAGGAATATATCTCAAATTTTACTATTTTCATGCTTTAATCTTCTCTAGAAATTAAAAGACAAAACTATTTAATTTTCATTTATGGGTTCAATGAACAACCAAACATTTCTTGTTGACTTCTCACAACTCAAAACAACCATTTCCATGTTATATATCATATAAAATAACCAAGTATAACCTTCTAAAACTAATCAACCTAATTCACATTTCATTTAAAATAGTCAAACTATTTCAAGGAAATCATACATATTATAGGAGTTTCACACACACATTTCACGGCATTAGCACAATCATATTTACTCTCCATTCATTCATTTTTGGCTTTTGGCTCGCACCCTTCTAAAACCTTTCCTAAAATTCTATTATCATTCTTTCTCCTTCAATTTAACTCAATTTTGCATGTATATAATTTCTTTCCCCTTAGAACAATATTCCAATAAAAAAATTTTCATTTAATTCATTACAACCCTTTATCACAATTCACGCTAATAATAGCATAATTTAGATAAAATATACATGTTTCATTATAAGCTTTCATTTATACATTAACACACATAAATTTCTTCAAAATCAACAAGCTTATTGAATTAATCAAACTCCTTTTTCACAAACATATTATGGCCAGCACCCTATACAACGCAACACTTTAAATTTTTTTTCTAATTACTCATGATTTTAGGTTATTTTAACTCTACACTAACTCAATCCCAACATTGCACAACAATTCCTCAATATCCTAAAAATCCACCTAAGAACCTAAATACAAAATTCACGAATCCATCTAAGAACCCTAATACAAAATTCAAGATTAAAGTATCAATTCTTGATCAAATTCAATTAGGCTTGCATATTCATGTCTAGGACCTCTTACTTTATGATAAAGTGAGATTTGATTCTTAACTAGTTGAAATTTTTTGAATCCTCTTCTTTCTTTCTCTTGACCAATATTTTTCTATCTATAAATCTCACAATTCTTTCATTTAATCTTGTTAATTTCTCCCTAGGATGAAGTTTCCCCTACTAGGTAACCTTAATCTCGCACAAATCTTGTTAATTTTAGTGATTTCCCTCAAACTTGGGTGAAATAAATTGAAGATTTTCCTCCCCATTCTTTCTCTATATGTTGTCAACTTTGGGGAGGAAGGATTGAGGTAGCTCTAACTTTTAATATTTACACATTAACCTCACATGGTTCAATTGTTTTGTTTTTGTCCCTTTTTTCTTCTAAAAATTCATATTATGCACTCTTTTATCACTTTTTAACTCCATTTTTTATTATTTAATTTAGTTTAAGTTTTCTTAAAATTTGTTTAACCCTATTTATCTTGTGGTTAAATTTTAACATTTCAAAATATTTTAACCGAGACTTATATTTGATTTGAGAAATATGGGGGAAATGAGAAAATTGAGCCACCATCTAGTAATTTAATGGAATTATAAATTTCAAATTGACACTAGTTTTAGATATTCAAGCATTGAGTTAGTTATGCTTAAAGAAGGATAGACACCACCTCTAACACATCACTTCAGATGAAAGGTTACGATTACTTATGTTATTTTAAATTTATTCAAATGTTATAATATTTTGAGCTTGTTCATTAATTATTTTAAAGGTTGATGTTTATTTTTAAACATGCTAGAAAATAATGTTAATCACTAAAAATAGAAGACTCATTAAAAAAATTGATATTTATTCCTAAATAAAAGATTAATTCAAAACTGTTCAAAACAAGAAGCTTATTTGCAAAAATTAGGCTTTGACCCTTTTATTCAAAACTCTTTTCATTTGAGTATTTCCACCATTGTTTATTTAAGAAAAAAAAAGATTTTTTTTTGTTTTTATATAGGCCCAATGAACTATTTATTTAGGTCAAGCTTTTAATAGACTTGATAAGCTTGTTATTAAGCCTAAAAATAAATACAATAGAAATATTTTTTTAACAAAAACTGAAACCACTATCATTTTTTTTACAATATGCAAAATGATTTTTTTTCTTTTATGAAAAGTATTATGTTAAAAAATATACAAGAAGATATTTTTATTGTTTTTAAAAAAATTGCCATAATGCAAATTAAAACACTTGGTTAATTACTTTTTTTTGTCCTTTTGTTTAAACCATTTATCTAACATACATTAAAACAATGCAACTCATGAACACATCAATTTTCACTAATTGTTCATACACTCTAAAATCACATATTTATACAATTATCACGTGCAATTAAACATATTAAATCATTTAAAATTTTTAGTAAATCTTTTAAAAGAGGCTAGACAAGATCTGGATAGTCAGAATATGGTAGAAGAGTTGTTAAAACTTATGGAAAAGTATAAGAATAATACAGTGAATGACAGCCACAAAACACCACCATTGTTGGCGTGTAAGGCCACACGTCATTGCTGATGATGCAGTAAATAGACACGTATAAAGAGAGCTATACTCCATTAAAGTTTTGGGTTTGTTTATATAAAGCAGGTGTGGTTATGGTAATTGAGTTTTGGCTTTTTCTTTCCTTTTTCACTTGTTCATCTTTTTTTTTTTTTTGTGTTTTTTACTGGAATGAAAGCGTGGCTTCCATGGGGTTTTTTCTTGCATGGAAAATGGTTGTTTGGGTGGTTTTTTTGTTAGATTTTTAAGCTATTTGGAGGTGGTTTTGTTAGAAAAATTGATAGAGAACAAATTATTGTCACTTTTATTTTTAGTACCATTACAAAGCTAATTAATGGTGCTATTGTAAAGTTGTTTTGTAATGATTTAAGGGGTCTCCATTAACCTATGCATAATAAAAAGTGGAGTGAACTAATTTGAATATGCACTCCTATATGATTTTCCATATATCTTTACCAATACACATTGATCCTTGATTAGTTATGATTATTTATAAAAGTCCAAACTTGCATATAATATGTTAATAAACTTGATCATTATTTCTTGAATGGTTAAAGAAATATTTTCAACCCACTTGGTAAAGCAAATCGTAGCACCTAAGATATAGTTATGCCTTCTTTAATGAAGATGAGTGTATCTTTCTAATAATATATGTTCCTCATCCCCTAAATAATCATTGCTTGACAAATACATTAAGTTTAGTTGATGGTGCATGCTACACTAAACCATATTGTTGACATATTTGACATCTTTTTGCATAACTACAACAATTTTTAGTAATATTTGAAAAATGGAAGTCAAGGATCATGATTAACCATTTCATATTGATCCTACATTGATGAGCTCTATATGATCCATCATGAACTCCTGTCATGACAAATAAAACTTCTTTTTATTCTAAACATGTTAATAAAATTCTTATGTTATGCCTCTTGTATAATACATATATAAATGAATGCTTGTAATTTAGAGGATCTTGAAACTTTCAACAAAGGGTTTAACATAAAAAATTTAATTTTTTGCCTCTAATCTTTTTTATAGGTTAAAGGAAGTTAACTTATCAAGACATTTTATATGTACCAAAAAAAAATTTTTATGATCTTTTTTTTTTCATCATGCAATATGTTTCTTTTTCATCTTGGTGTATATTAGTTATAGTTCATTAATTCATAATTCTTCAAGGATGATGCCACTATGATTGAAAGGCATTTTGCATCATGATCCATGTTAAGTCAAGTCATTGGTTTCTATATTGTTTCGTCTTACTAAAAAAGTAAAAAAATAAATTAACAAATCTTTCAATAAAGCTTTTATCCACCACATAACTAAAGTTAAAATAAAATATTTATATTTATATTCACTAATAATAAGTCTCTAATAATAAGTCTCGTTTCATTCTTGTTGATTGAGTTCTTAACTCCAAGAATATTTCTATGTCTATGATCAAGATTTTATATTTAGCTTGATTATTAGTTCATAAAAAAATCATGTTAAAATAACAAGTCATATTATGACCAACTAGAGACATCGTTACCACCCTTTACTCCATCTTTCTTCTTGGTTTTTGATCCATCAAATTATTATTATCTTGGCATAAACTTTGCAACAATAATAGTCATATCTTATTATAATTAATGGTCTATATAAAAAAAGGTGTGATTTGCTTAGAATTTAGTCTTATCATCCAATGTTATCGATGTGGTGACAAGAAGTTATGAGAGATAGGGTTTGATAATAGTCTTGTAATGAAGATGAAAGAGAATATAATTTTAGTAGGTTAAGATAAGGTTTTACCCATATTTAAATTTAAGGCAAGTGTTTTGATATGTTTTAGCTGTATTCGAGAGGAATTAGAATTTAAAAGAGTTGTAATTTTTACTTTGTAATTTTTTTTTTTAAAAAAATAACCATGTTACACATATATACTCAAACACTAGTGGCTACAAAACTAAATTAAGATTAGATGAACTCAATCAATATGAAGAAGAGTGTAGGTTCTCAATCAAAACAAGGCAAAACTCCCCCATTCAAAATCTCGCTTAAATGCATTATTTCTTTGATTTACTCTTGAATTGTGAAAGAAAAGAAAAAAGAAAATTTCCTAATCAACAATATCAAATTAAAATTACCAAATAAACAAGAAAATGATCCAATTCTAACAAGATTTTAAATTGGGAACTGAGGAATTGGAGTTCCAAGATTAATTTTAGTTTTTTAAAGCAAAATACCCATATTGGCCAAGCAAAGTGCTGCGAACATCGGTATGCTGTATAATATGTATATTCAATTTCTCAGGCACATGTTCATTCCAGAAACGACAAATTTTCACTTTCAACAAGAATAAAAAGAGATTAAAAAGTTATTGCGAGATATGCTTATCAAGATATTAAAAAAAAAAAAAAAAAAAAAGATATTGGACCGAGACCAAACGTAAGATCGCAAAGTATATAGCGTACAATTAAAATTAAGAATCACCTCGATACCAGGAAATCAATTATCTGGCCGGCTTATCCTTGGCAATATATGAATCCGAAAGGCTTCAAATCCCGGTGGCGTTTCCACCATCCATAGTCTCACCGGAAGCGCCACCACATCTAGCACCACAAGCTCAGTACTCCCGCCGCAAGTAACACAAACTCTACCGCCACCAGCAGCAATCTGTTGTGCTCCAATAAGCCTTTCTGACTCCATTATATGCTCCCAGCAATCCCTTTCTGGATCATATTTTCTAAGCACACCTTTGGCTTCATCCACCACATACATAACCTCCTCGTCCATGGCTGCCACGGGTCCTCTCCACCCTGCAACCATACCCTCTGGCATGTTCTCCCATGTGTCCTTCTCAGTGTCATAAACAATCCCTTCTTTAGCTGCATCTCCCTTCATATTCACCATACAAAGTTTCCCTCTCCATCCTACTGCATCAATAGCATCCCTACTAAATCTCCCATTTTTCAGTTCTTTAACCTTTACCCATTTCCATGTGGTTGTTTTATTGCAGATGTTGGAGATCATGGCTTTGTTGTTTTGCAAATCCCACTTCTCCAATGACTTGGCCACATCTGTGTTGTATTGGGATCCGATCCCACTCGCCACATAGACCGTGCCATGTGCCGAGCCAGCAGCACACCAGCGGCGAGGTGTGGCGAGGGGAGGACCAAAGGCCCATGAGCCTGAAAATGGATTGAAAACAAGAGGGCGAGAGAGAGCGGGTGAAAAACTGTGAGAAGTAGCAGCAAGAAGTACCAAGCGATCAGAGGCGGAGATGGTTTGGATAGGAAGGTCACGGGAGATAAAGGAAGGGTGGCGAAGGATGAGATGGAGTGGCGGATCTGGTGGTGGAGGAGGGAGAGAATCCCACCGCGAAGAAATGGGGTCAAAGTTAAAGAATTGGATTGAATTATTATCAGGAAGGTTATGGTTTGTATTCGTTGATGATAGCACTGCATACAAAGAGAAGAAAGGAGGGAAAGAAGGGGAATAGATTAGGCGACGCCATGCGTGGCAAACAGTGTAAAGAGTTGAAGGGTGAACAAGGGAGAGACAAAACTGGGCTATGTCGTTAGGGAGACCTGGTATGAGAGGCTGTTCTAGGTGGCGGTGGTGGCCTGTAATTAGCTTTCGACGTTTGGTGGGGTTTTTGTTGGTAGTGTCAGTGATGAAAGTTTGGGTGGAATTGGCCATGAAATGGAAGGGGAAGATTTGTTGTCTGGGAAGAGCTTTAATAATGGCCTTTTTAGTTTTTACTTATTCTGAGTTTTTGTTTTTGTTTTTGTTTTTGGCTTTAAAGATAAGCCATAAGGAGATCTCATTGGTGGACAAGTGGGGATCGAAAAGCGTGTCGTGGAAGATGAAGCCTAAGGAAGCTAGCACAGCACATCTTAAGGTAAAATAAATGGCCAAAGTAGAGTGGGAATTGAAAATGTAGCAGCTGGCTGTCGTGCAAGAGAGGGAGAGGGGGGGAAGTAAAATACTTTAGGGTTTAACCACCTGTTAGAATTGCTTTTCAAATAGTATTTTTTAAAATTTAATTTTTTTTTTATTTTTTTCAAATAGTATTTTTTAAAATTTTTTTTTTTTTTAAATTATTTAATATATTAATATTTAAAATAATTTTTAAAAAATAAAAAATATTTTTTAATATATTTAAAATAAAAAACATTTAAAAAAAATATTATCTAACTCTCATATATCTTCTAAGCATTTCCTAGATCGACCGGGATGATCAACCAAAACACTATATATAATAGCTTAGTCAGATAGTGTTCTGTAATAGTTATTTTTTAAAATAATATTAAAATTATTTAAAAATATAATAAAATCAATTTTTAAAAGTACAAATATATAAAAGGAAAAAAAAAACTTTTGGACCTGTTCAAAACGCTACCTTAAGCAATCAATGGGAAACACAAGTAATAAATGAGAAAAGGTGGAGCAGTTAGAGGAGGTGTCAGCAAGCTCATGATGCTCTGTAGCTCTACGTGAATAGGTAAAGCTGTTACAGGAGGTGTCAGCACGTAGAGTTGGTGGGGTTTAAAATTTCATCCATTTAAAAAAAAATCGTACAAACTTATTAAATTAGGCTTATTTTTCTATATAAGTTCTTAACTATATTTATTTTTTTACTGTACTACTTTCAGTAAAAAAATCCGTGAATGTCTTCGATGCACTAATAGCGAGAAAAAATTTCACCATGGGTTTCAGTTTTCTTTGATAATGTCAATTGTTATCGGGGAAACGGTACTTTGGGCATAAATTCAGTTTATTATGGATTTTAATAATGTATTAATTATTTTGCTTTTTAATTGTTAGAAAACTTAGGGTATGTTTGATATTATGATAGTAATTAAAAATTAAAGTTTTTTTTTTAAATATATTAAAAAAATATTTTTTATTTTTTAAATTATTTTTTATATTAGTATATTAAAACAATCTAAAAATATTAAAAAATAAATTTTAATATTTAATATTTAAAAAAATATAGTTTGCACCGTATTTTTAAATAGTTCTTACTTCATGTCATTTTAGCTTTTCTCCTACTATTTCTATCACATTAAAACAATTTAAAAATAGAAAAAATTAATTTTAAATAAAAAATTAAAATTTTACTTGACTACTATTTCAAACAGAGTAAAAAATAAGGTTTAATGTAACATGTAAACCCGTTTCATTCTCTATATGCAGAGAGTCTTCATGTATTTTGATTGATTTTATATATATATATATTCAATCAAATAAAATTTCTATAAAATAAAAGGTCTTTCTCGTATTTATCACTCACTTATTTCACTTCGCAAGCATTATGACGTTCAATGGATTCACCAAAATTATCACGAGCATAGATAGGTACAGGACCAAAGGATGGCAAGTAAGGACTCGGCCTCTAAAATATTTTAAAACTTTCTATTATTTAATATTTTTAATTTAAATAAATAATTTTTTTAATAATATATGTATTATTATATTAATTTGGTCTTCCCTGTAAAATACACCCCGCTCCGCCCCTGAGCACAGAGGATGGAACATGGATAAATTAAATACGAGGGGATTAATCATACATTCATTTGGCTTTTTATGGAATGAATGCATGTCTCATCGGATAATCAACGAATTTATTGTTTTTCCTCCGTTTCAAATCACTGTTTGGCATCATTTAATCTGGAAAATTACCAAAATTCCTCTCTCTCTTTGTTTTTTTTTTTATGTTGAGTGATCGCCTTTCGTACATTTATTGGTTAGCAAATCATGCTAATTTTTTTATTTGTTTATGTTAATTTTTTGAGTTTATTCAAAAAATTGTAAATTTTAAATTGATTTGATTTGGTTTTAATTTAAAAAATAAAATTATCTCAAAAAATTAAACAATAAAGAAGACTATATATAATCAAGGAGACCAAATTATCTATTTTTTGTTTTGAAAAAATATAACACACCAAAAATAACTTAACTTTATTTTTTTGTTTTTATCCATTTAAACTTATTTAATCTTGATAAAAGCAAAACCTAATCCAATAATTTATCTGGTTTAAAATATAAAATTAAATTAAATTTAGATAGAAATTCACTTTACTTGTGTCGTAATGGTATTAGGGGTAACTACCTCCACAAGTACCACTTGCCACGTAGACATGCGTAAAATATTATAATAATAATAAGAATAAGAATAATAATAAAGATGGAGTAAAGAGTAGGTGAATCTGAAAAAGGAGATTTTGTCGTATTTGTGTACGACAACAACGAGAGGTCCTTTTTGTCACGTGAAATCCACCATTGCACGCATTTGCCGCCTTCTTCGCCTAATCGGTGCTCAGCCGCCGCCATTCGAGCTCGGCTTCCCAAATCGGCGTTCTTTTGTTTACTTCCCAGTTGTTGCGCCCACGCATCCTTGTATAGAACGATGATTGATAGAGATTATAAACACGTATATATTCACAAAACCAAAAAGAGGAAGTAGATTTACTGTTTGATCTTACTGTAAAACACTGTTAATCGAATCCATGCTTCTTCTCTTTTTTAATATTAAATTTATTTGAGAATAGATTTTGTAATTTTTTAAATTTATTTTGTATAATATTATGTTGATTTTATAATTCAAGTTAGGAGAATAGTGGGTCAACCTAAATAAACTTAAGTTTTTTAAGGGATTTTTATAAAAAATTATTTTTTTAAAAAATATAATTTAAAATTATATTGATTAAGAATTAATTTTTATAATTTATTTATTTATTATGAAATTATCTTAATTTTATTACTCGAATTATATGCTTGGTAGATTAACCCATGTTGATTCAAGTTATTTTTTTAATTGATTTTTTTAAATATTATTTAAAATTAAATTGAATGAAATTAGGTATAGTAATTTATTTTGATTTGTTTTATATGAAGTTATTAAATTTTTATAATTCAAATTATAAATTTAAATTATTAATATGTATTGATATAATATATTATTATTTTATTATTTTAAAAACAAAATATATGGTCTTCTAACACAAGATAATGATGTAATACTATATATAAAAACATAATTTTTATTATTACCTCAAAGTGCATCTTAAAATATTTAGTTTATCTACTTTAACATTTTAAAAAAGTTCAGTGAGATTAATATTAAAATGATTCATTACATTCAATTGACAAAAATGTTTGGTCTTGGACGGACAAACCATCATTTCATGAAAACAGCAGTGATAGTCTTTTATTTAATGACAAATGATAATACTGGTAAAGAAGCAAATATTCTTAACGAAAAATAATTTTAAAAATACAATAAAATATTTTAAATCGGATTACTTGACAATTAAGTTGTTGGTAAATTGTAATACTGTAATTTTATAGTCCAAGAATGACACGCAATGTGTAATGAAAAGAAAGATTTGTAACTATAAAAAACATGATTTATCGATTTGAAAGAGTGTTTTAGCTTCATATTTGAACTAATTTATAATTCAATGATGTTATTGTTAAATTCAAAGTGTCGGGAATTGAATAAGTATAATAAAAACTCAATTTTTATCATAAAAAATTAAAAGGACAACAAAAAAGGAATGATATTGTTTTTTTCATAAAAACAAATAATAAATTTCATAATAAAAAATTACTTTATAAAATAACCACTTTACACTTCCAAATATACCTTAAAGAGACAAAAACCAAGAAGTAACGTACCACCTCTTCAAATCCCATCAAAGGCTGCATGCAGTGTTAGAATTAAATAACGTTTTAATAAATGACAAAAAAAAGAGTCGTATTAATAATGTAAAAGAGACTTTCAACACAACCATAATTAAATTGAGAGCAGACAATCAATTGGTTGACTTTAGCTTAATAATAATAATAATAATAATAATAATAATAAAAAGTCATTGACAGTCGAAAACCACATCGTAAATCCATTTCCATGCCATCCTTTTGAATTTTCTTGGCAATAATTAAGAGTGTAGAGAGTGATCTCTTCTTGCCAACCATAAAAGAGCAAAAATATGATCCACATGTATAAAGTGTTCTAGAAGGGATTGTTTCATTTTTACTGTATTTGTTGTATTGTAAACAAAAACATAATAAATTCAATTCCAAGTCTCCTAATCATAAAATAAAAATATTTATCTACGTTTTTTTATTATGTAAAATAAAAATTGAATTTGCATTTCTAAATTACGTGTGAATATAATTATTGAAAAAAATTGTAAATTAACTTGAATAAATTCTTGATCATCAAACTAGAGAAAACAAAAACTAAATAATATCCACACGTAATTTTGAATACTTGATACTCAATCGAAAAAAAAAAAAATTGAAACATCGGATTGCAAGAAAAATATAATTGAATTTTTTCGATCACAAGAACGCAAAAGTAAATAATATTCAACACTTTCCAATACGAAACCTTGCGCTCACATCACATCAGGCCTTTACTTGACAAGACCTTATGTCAGGCTATTTATAATCATGCATGAGAACGTAGATATGCCTTTAATATTTTATTTTTTTTTAAGTAAAGGGCATTTAGAATGGTTTGACGAGGCATTGGAATATTATAACTCAATTCTTTGACTTTCTGGTTTTAGATTACTACTATTGAATAAAAATCATAATAAATCGATTTATTTATGAACATAGTTGTAATTTATTAACATAGTTGACATGGATAATGTAACTTACTTGATTGTCGTTTTTTATTTTTAGCTATTTACAGCTGGTCAGGGAATAGAATATAACTTATTTGATTGTTGATTTTCTTTTTAGCACAGCTGTTCAGAGAATAGAATAATGGAATAAATAATATAATTTGGGAGTAGAATTATCAAACAAGTCCAATAATGTAGAGAAGATATCTCATCTCAAATGACTCGTCGATCTTCTGCTCCATGTCATGCTAAACCATAC